AGCACAATTTTAGATGAATGAGGTTGAGACCTCGGCAGCCACCCTGCTCTCACCACACCAAACTGTTCATACAATTAAAAATAACTGACTGGATCAAGCAACCTGGGACGATACCTTTTCTCCAAATTACTGGCTGACAAAACATGCATCTCTCTTTTGTGTTCTTGAAGTGCCAGTAGCTCTTGATTTCTCTCTCCTTGATGGCTGCAGCTCCTTAACCTGTGCTGGTGGGAAGACATCAGATTGAAGTGAGTGTTTTGGAGCCAAGAGGCATCCTGTGCCAAACCACATGTTTCAGAACCATATTTGGTCCACAAAACACCAAAGGTTTGATCCTTTATTAAAAGCACTGGGTGCTTTGTCATCAGTTTCGATAGGGGTAGGACCCCTGTTTAGGTAAATCCTCGTCTCTTGACCTTCTTGAAGGCCACTCTGTGCCACCTCACACACCTATGGACAGTGTGTTTGCACATTACTACAGTACCACTGACCACCCAGGTGAGACCCTGAGTTTTCAAAAGTTAGCACACAGAACAGGAAAAATGATCCCAGCCTCTGAGGCAGGCTGTTTGCTTTGTTGTTTTTTGAAGTTGTGCTTTTTACTTCTCCTTTTCAGCAACTTAAATGAAGAGTGTTACTTAACCTTTCAGGCCACAGCTGAATCTTTGGACTGAAAGCTGCAATATTATGTGTTACCCTTGTTAGTGGAGGAAGGAAACCTCTTTCGTATCCATTGACGTCTTTTGCAAAATACTCTGTGTATTTTGAGTTTGTTTCTATTTCTACTTCTATTATTTCTATGCCATTACTTATGAACTTCACAGCATTTTCCAGAGACGTCTTCACTGAGATGAAAACCTCAGGGCAACACTCCATTAGGCTTTTATTTTTAGAGGTTGGGTTAAACCTTCTTGAAATCAGTAGGTTTAACTGCATTCCTTTATTTAGGGTAGCTGAAGGAGACATTAAGTCTATTTCCACCCACATTATAAGATTACTCAAGAACCTGAAGGCTCTGGGAGGACAGTTTGGGGTAGGATATTAAAAGGAAAGAAGGTCACATGTGGATGGACTCTACAGTTCAGGTGGAGGAAGAGACAGAAAGATGGAGCATTGAAACAGGCAGGGAACGGAAACTTCAAAGAGCCTGAATAATCAGTGATATAAAACCTGGACTGAATACAAGGATTTGGGGTCACATTGATGCTAGGAGCAGGTCTGGAGCTCTGAGCAAGGAAACTGGCCCTCAATGCCTGATTTCTTCTGTGTTTAGGAAAGAAGGGTTGTGAGCATTCTTGCAAGCAAACAGAGACACATCAGAAACACCTTCCTTTGTCACTCCTCCTCCCACCTGGGTCAACCAACCAGACCCTGAATTTTGGCCAGCAGCACAGGTCAGAGGGAGGAAATGTGCTGCAAAACCTCCTGCACATCTGTACCATTTCACTCTTCCTGCTTGGGTCAGGTTAAGGTGGCATAAAGACACAGCCCTGTTCCTCTAACGCTGCCAGAGCGGGCGGCCCAGGCCCAGGGTTGGGGCACTGCTGTCTTTGATTGCATTGCAGATGGATCCTCACTCAGGATTTCCATTCCTACCCTAACAAACCAAATTTCCCCTGATATCGCTACGGGCAGTTTGAGCTTTTCTGCTTTGCAGAGAACTCCTTAAAATGAGGCCCCCATCACTGGCTTTCTTCCTGTAGGTGAATTAGTCTGCCTTGCATGGGTAATCCTATTTAAAACAATAGGTTGCCTTGCAAGAATGAGGGAAGATAGTTTGGAGCATGATTTTCTGTAAGTACTGTAAAAAGGCCACATAGTAGTTCATCAGGGGACACTTCAGCCATAAAATGACAGTTACCGGTAAAGTTCACTAATAAAATAAAAGATAATTTAATGAGTGGATTTTTAACCCATTTAACAGAGTCTAAATTTGGAAGGCTTTCTTCAGGTGATGAGGCAGACTATGCTTTCATACTCTTACTTTCTGTTATTAATTGAACTAAAAAAAAAATGAGGTAGTAATCTATTCCTTCTGCTTTTATTTTTATGTTATGGGAGAGCACTATTCAATGTAAATAAATTAATTTTGGTAAAAGAGCAGGTGAAGCTGGACACGGAGACCAGCCTCTGAGTGATATGTGTGACACGGTGCCATATCTCTTGAGACAACACAGGTGCCACACCTCAACTGATTTAATACCAGGTAACACAACCCCGCAGATTCTAATCCAAGAATCCTGCAGTGGCAGGAGGGAGGCGTGTGGAATAAGACTCTGTGACCTAAGAGCAGTAAAAGCTGCAGAGATTAGAGTTTATGTAGGAGCCCTGTGGGCTCCCCTCAGCGTCTTTAATTTAGTTTTCATCTCTGATCCGCTCTAACATTCCTCTGTGGGATGGATATTTCATGTCTGGGAAAGCTGGGGGGCTGGCTGACCTGCCAGGAGCTGCGGGGGACGGCTGCTCCCCGGTTGCTGCTGCATCACTTTGCTCTTCAGCTTCGGCACAATCAACAACAACAAACCCTGACACTATTACGAACCTGTAAAGGAGGATTTGAAGCCTCTAGAGGTCACTAAATGGGGACCATCGCTGCAGCGGCTGCATCCTCTGCCCGCGAGTGACACCTGCTGGGTCCCAGGGCTGCAGGTCTGTGTCTGCTCAGGGCGGACTTTCTGGAGGTCTGTGAGCACTAAACCCCCCAGAAAGGCTCTGGACAACATGAGATAAATCTGGGTGGCTCTTTCCTGCTCTGCTGCGTGCTGGCGTGGCCTCACCTCCAGTCCTGGGTGTGGATTCGGCACACCACAATACAAGATATAAAGCTATCAGAAGGAGGGCTATGAAGATGGGGAAGGGTCTATAGGGGCTGTATGAGGAGTAGTTGAGGTCACTTGGTCTGCTCAGCCTGGAGGAGACTGAGGGGAGATTCATCAGGGTCTGCAGCTTCCACATGAGGGGCAGCTCCAATCTCTACTCCCTGTGACCAGTGACAGGACCCAGGGAATGGCTTGGTGCTGTGACAGGGGAGGGTTAGGCTGGATATAAGGAAAAGGTTCTTCCCCCAGAGGGTGGCTGGGCACTGACCAAGCTCCCAGGGCAGTGGGCACAGCGCCAAGACTGACAGAGCTCAAGGAGTGTTTGGACAACGTTCTCAGGGACAGGTGGGGCTGTTGGGGTGTCCATGAAGGGCCAGAATTTGGACTGGATGATCTTTTATGGGGCCCTTCCAACGCAGGCATTTTGATTCCTGTTGCAAGAAGGCAAATCTTGTCTTTATCCACACATTAACTCTTCCACCACCCTGGTTGTGCGGGTTTACTTACACCACATACCAATGACCCAGCCTCTCTTTTTGACACCCATCCCGAGGAGCTTTTGTAGAACACAGTATTTTCCCACAGGGAAAAGTCCAGAGTGGGCACCAAAATGGGATTTCTTACAGTACAATAAACGACAACAAATGTTGCAGTATATACTGTCTATATACTGTCTATGAACTCACATTTACAGTGTTAGAGCTGCAACTTCACAACACACTGGCAAAGGTTCTTTTGTGAGACATCAGTGGGACCGCTGATAGAGTCTTGTGATGATGCTGATGAGGATTTGTGGATTTTTCCTATATATTCTCACAATACGAAGCACCAGCAAGGAGGGCACCGATACCCCACACAGTACATTGGGACTGTGCAAGGCACTGCCCTGGGGCATCAGAGAACAAACACCCTAGGGAGTTGTTTGCCATCCCCTGAGGGGGACCTGATGGAGCGGGACCAGAGGGAAAATGCCACAGCCCAGGATGGTGCCAGGCTGGCAGTGCCCCCACAAAGCCTGCAGCCCCCATTGGGAACTGACCCCCAGTGAGGAGATCATGGAATCATAAGAGTTTTAAGGGGTTGGAATGGACCTTAAAGATCATCTCGTTCCACTCCCCTGCCATGGGCAGGGCAACCTCCCACTATCCCAGGTTGCTCCAAGTCCCGTCCAACCTGGCATTGGACAACCCCAGGAATGGGGCAGCCATAGCTTTTCTGGGCAACCTCTGCTGGGGCCTCACCGCCCTCACAGGGAAGAATTTCTTCCCGACGTCTAACCTGAACTTCCCCCCTCTCAGTTTGTACTCGTTACTCCGCGTCCCGCCCCCAGGTCAGGACGGACCCAGGACCCGCCCTGAGGGGCCGCGCCCTTCCCAACATGGCGCCGCCCCCTCCCCGCCCCATCCGGGTCCCCCCGCCCTCCCTCCCGTGGTGCCCCGCGCGCCGCTCCGGCCACTCCAAGATGGCGCAGCCGCCGGGTGAGTGCGGGGGCTCCAAGGTGACCGCGGCCCCCTCACCCCTCCTGCCCTCCCTCCCCTCTCACCCCGCTCTCTCCCTCTCCCCGCCGCAGTTCTCCTCAAGGACACGAAGCTGATGGACGTGAAGCTGGGCCAGCTGCCCTCCTGGCTGGCCATGAGGGACTTCACCCCCGGCGGCATCGTGGGGGCCTGTCGACGAGGTGAGGGGGGCGCGGAGGGCGAGAATCCCTGAATCCCTTCTCCTGACGGAGCCAGGGAGAGCAGAGCAGCACACAGGCATCTCTGCCTGCCGGAGTGGAGTTTCTCCTGTAACACCTCATTCTCCTATCTGTAAATTTGTTTCTCACGTGAACTTTATTCACCAGAGGTTTGTTTTCATAATTCCTTCTCGTATAAAGGGGAAATGGGATGCCCTTAGTCCTGAACCCACTGGCTGAAAATCTCTAAGTTTCCCAACATCACAGGTCAATAGAAAATAATTTTTAAAAGCAGTTGAGCCCTGCAGATGGTACAAAAGGACACAGGGCACTTAAAATCACTTGGGAAGAGCTTTGACCAGTGTCCTTTGCTGTAGGTACTGATCTCATTCAGGCAGATCCAAACACAAAATATCAAATGCAAGAGTTTGCATTTGATAATACACATATGTACGTATATCATGTATATGCAATGGTATGGAAGAATTAGAGAACTCCAAAGCAGCTTGAACTCATCAAAGTAGATTTAAACACAACATATCAAATGCAAATGTCTGCATAACGTACGTACACCAGTATGAAAGAATTAGATAACTCCTAAGTAGCTTGAGCTCATGAAAGTCACAATGTTTAGGGAAAAAATGATAAATGGCTTTTTTTCCCCCTTTTTTTTTTTTTTTAAGGCTTAGGGCTATTAACTTGAGATCACCTTGCTCAACTGATGCACAGGTTGCCTCCTCCCAGACTTACTTCTGAGACTTTCAGATGTGTTTCATTAGAAACAATTTCCTTAAGTTCTGTGAATCCAGGACGCTTCTTTCTGACTCAGGAAAGCCCACAGCTCATCTGGCTACTCTGAAAACTCTTCCTCCTCCCCAGGTTATGACAGATACTACAACAAATACATCAATGTGAAGAAGGGGGGCCTCGGGGGTATCTCCATGGTGCTGGCTGGGTATGTTGTTCTCAGCTACATCTGGAGCTACAGTCACATCAGTAAGTAAAAACAAGGCTCTCTGTGTGTGCAGGGCAGCTTGGAAGGTTGCTTGGGGTAATAAAAACAGCCTGCTGCTGCTTTTAAAAATAAAATGAAAGATTGTGGGTAAACAAACTTAGCATAGAAACCCTGATTGTTTACTTGGTACATTACCAGCTGGCCAGTATTTTCTTGGCAATGAAGAATGTTTAGGTCTTGGTGCCTGTCTGACCTGACAGGACTTAGAAAATACATGTTCAGGGAGTTTTTCAGAGTGCTTTCTTGCCTGTAATTTCAGGTGTGGTGGTTTTTTTTTCCTTGTGACTTGAGGAAAATTAACTTGCTGTGCTTTGCTGCAGAGCACGACCGGCGCAGGAAATACCACTGAGGCACCATCAGTGTCAGAAGGTGAAGGTACAGCTCCTGAACAGCCCTGGCTGCTGGCACAGTTACCCTGACAGAAGACATCACAACTATTCATGTTGAATCTGTGCTGTTGTGACCAATAATAAAGTGCTTACACTTTACGTTTTCTGAGCTGACACTCTCCTTAATTGAGTTGTTAATTGTACTGTGCATTCTCGGAGTTTCACCCCTCAGGGTAGGTTCAGAGGTGGTTGGGAAAGCATCTGCTCCTTGGACTGCATTATGAACTGGGAGAACTATTGCCACTGATTTCCTGGTTGATAAAACTAAGCGCTTCCTCCTGGCCGTTCCTGGCTGAGAGGATGTGTTTTGATTTGAAAGAATGTCTGAGCTTTAGGTGGCATGTTGGTGTTTCTAGTTCTAAGGCTGTCTCCAGGCTCTGTAGGTATTTGGGCAGTTTTCCATCATTGCAGAGCACTGTCTGAGATGAGACAGGTCTGCAACTCTCATTCTGTCACTGGGATTGTAATGCTCCTTGCCTCAGATAACCCAGAATTTCTGTCAAAACTCTACCTGCTTTCACTGCTAAAGCTGGGAGGTCCTTCTGAGTGGGTATAAGCTCACACATCTCAGCCTGGCCACTGTTCAGCCTCTGGGGGCACAAAGTGTTACAAAGAGTGTCTGACCTTAGACTTGAAACTTGCAGTGACTGCACAGTGAAATAACCCAGTCATTCACACCAGCACAGGCTCTTCACTTCTCTTAATCAGATCAAGCCAGATCACCTTGTTCTTAAAGAAAAATAAATTCACAGCCAGCTTTTGCCATCAGTACATTTCAATAAAAACAAAGTATAAAGGCAGGCAGCAAACGAGAGATGGGGTCGAGTCAGTAAGGCTCACACTGGGGGGGAAATGTGGGTTTTTTTCTTTTTTTTAATACATTTTTTGTCATTGGCCCTTTCAAAATAAGTCTTCTCAAAACAAATGGGGTTTGGGTTTGCAAAAAAATTGCTCTCAAAAGAAATCTCTACCACTTTTAAAAGCAGTGTTCCATAGAAGATACAGCTCCACTTCGTGCTCTTCTCTAGGCTGTGGGAATCCCTGCTCAGTGTGAGCTGGATGATGGGGGGCTGAGAGAAGGCTCTTCTATTCGTACTTTCAAGACATGCTCATTTCCCTCCTTGCTTTTTGCAAATGGAAACTGAGCACAGATGCAGCTTTCCTATTAGGATTTTTGTCCTGTTCCTTACTGTCTGGCCGAGAGATTTTGCCAATTTATTCTCCCCTTGATTGGTTCTCACCCTGAAGATTAATTTCTAACCTTCAGTACAGCAAGAAGCACAGAAACAAAGTGAGTGGACACGAGTTTTACTGCCTGATGTACTTGAAGTGTTAAGTCAGCCATCAGGACAAGCTTTACCAGGCTGGGCCTGGAAACATGACTTTGCTGTTTAGGAGCTACAGGACAGCAGAATCCCTGTTTCTCACTGAGGAGAAGGCATTGCAAGTGTTTAAATTTTCCCAGTCAGTCTTCCTGCTTCCACAGGGAAGGCTGAAACGCTGTAGGTTCTCCAAAAAGAAGTGGCAGAAGGAAAATACTTCAAAGAAACACTGGCCTAAGATGTGTTTACCCGGGGTGCTGCACCAGTAAGGGGTTGGTTTATCTACTGGCTTTTAGATCTGCCTTTCATCAGGGCTCAATGAAAACAGGCAGAGGTCAAAATCGGCTTGAAAAAGGTTAAAACTTAAAAAAAATTGGAGACAATTACAAAAACGTTGCTTAGCAGCAGCCAGCCTCTGACCAGTTCTTTCAGTAATGGCATTAAAAAACAACCTGATTAATAGCTCCAGACATGGTGCTAGGCAGAAACCTTTCCTCAGCGGCAACAGCAACCTTGCACCTTCTGCTCCTTCACTGTCCACTGAGAAAGGCCAGATGTCCTTTGGTGCATCTGTTGGCATAATGACCTTTTTCTCCACACTGCAAGAGAAAGAGAGACAGGAATTACTACACAGTTACATCTTTTTCCTTCTAGCTGCCTTTATCAAGGTAGCCAGCAACTGTTCCCATTTGGAAGCTTTTCCACAGGTGCAGAATTTAGCAGGTGAAGTGAAATATGCTGTCACAAGGGATATGATCTACGGGCTGCTTCCAATCCTTGGAGCAAAAGCTGCTTCTGTGCTGGGAGCCAAGTGATGCCACTTTATTATAACCCACTACAAAGCAACAACCACAAACAGCAAAGGGCTGTAAAACACAAGGAGAATTTCAACATTTGAGGGTTCCAAGACTACTCCATCTGATATGCACTACATCAGAGACCTGTGGGGACTCCCCTGATCTGCTATCCTGAATTAAACAGAGCAAAGTGCCTCTGAACCTGAGAAAGTCATGAGCAGACTCATGACTTTGCACCTTAAAGCCATTCAGAGAATATCCAGAGAAATGCCAATATCTGGTACAACACCATTTTCCAGATCTGTAATTTGCTCGCAGGTAAAATAATAAGCAGCTGTTAAAGGTCTTCAGTGAAATGGATTCAGACATTTAATACCCCCATCCAATCACAGTGATTTTTACAGGCAGAGTTGACACATATAGTGATGTAACTGCCAAGGCTGATGGAACAGGAAGATCCTTTGCCCTTTTCTAGTGCTGGAGTTGGGGCTTGTGGGGAAAAAACCTTTTGTTTTCCCTCCTCATCCCTCCCCTCTGAATTACCTTGTAGCAGGTGACTTGCTCCAGGGGCCGGGGTCCTCTGTTGCCACTGTTGTTGTTTTGAGACTGCATGACTCCAATGACTTGGGGTGTCCTCTGTTGGTTTGGAGAAGAGTTCTGACTCGTTAAGTGCATCAAGGATAAAGATCTCTGTGGTTGTTATTTTGTTTAGAAGGGAAAAAGAGCACCCCATAATGTCAAATGATCAGTTTTCCTCCAAATCTGTGTGTGGGTGCTCTGCCAGCTGGAGCACCAGAGAGAAGAAATCAAGCACTGAGCCTTACAAAGCCCAGAGATCCTGTTTTTCTCTGAAAGCAGATCTGGAGAGTAGGTTTAGGCTGCTAAAATATCATTGCCATCACGGAGGGATGTCACACAGATTACACAAACTGGCAGACTGCTGCACAACCACGTGTGACGTGCTCCTGTGTCGCGTGGGAGTGTTCTGTGACCAGATCTCCGTGTCGAGTTGGAACAATTGTGGGGCTCTCATCACTATGATGCTCACTCCTTAATTCTCCCTTCCAGACCCAAGAGCCTGAGTGCCCAATTTTGACCACTTGGACAATATATTCTATTTTAAAGCGCTGTGGGAAAGGCTTGAGGGCAGGCGTGTGGGGGAGGCAGGGGAAGTGTGTACCTTTTGCTGTGTTTGTGTCGGCTGAGGCAGTGGTGGTTGCTCTGTGGTTCCCATTGGCAGTTCAAACCGAGGGCTGGTTTAGATGGAAACAAGAAAATTGATTCTCAAATCATATCCCAACGTTTTAGCATCAGCTCAGTCAAGTAAATCCAAAGAACAGAATGTTCAGCCAATTGAATTTGGCTCACAGGAAGCAGACCTCCCCCTTTCCACTTCTCTTTCCATGTGTGTAACACATCCCTCTGCCTGTGAAGCCTTCTGGAATATAAAACCCTGTGATCCCACTGCACTGACAGCATCTAATCACCACTCCAGAGTCTTACTGGGAGCTCTCTGGAGAGACCCTGCCTCATATCACAGAATGGTTTTGGCTGGAAGGGACCTTAAACCTCATCTTGTTCCACCCCCCTGCCATGGGCAGGGACACCTTCCACTAGCCCAGGTTGCTCCAAGCCCTGTCCAACCTGGCCTTGGACACTTCCAGGGATGGGGCAGCCCCAGCTTCTCTGGGCAACCTGTGCCAGGGCCTCATCACTCTCACAGGGAAAATTTTTTTCTGATATCTAATCTAAACCTACTTTCTTTTGGTTTAAAACCATCCCCCTTGTCCTGTCTCTACATGTTCTTGTAAGTAGTCTCTCTTTCCTCAGATGAGTAAAAATTTGGCCAAACTAAACCTTGGCTAAACCTCCAAAGCCATTGGGAAGCACTGGAGCACCCTCATTTGACATTTACCAGATTCCAAGGGACACAGAAGGTTCCAGGCCAGGCCTGGAGCATACTCACTGCATGAATTTACAGGCAGGTCCCTCTGGGCAGAATCCTACCAGGTAATTCACACAAATGACTCTCCGAGTGTGCCGGTGTCTGCAGAGGGGACCTGCAATACAGAGCTCAGCAGTCTCCATCTCATAAATCCCTACCCCAGCACTCAGCAGAGCAAGTACACCAGCAGATCATGCAAAGAGAGAACAGCAACACCCCACCCCTGACTTAGAGCCACAGAAACAGCAGCTGTGTGAGGTACATACCGTGTTTACAGAAGCCTCTGTCATACCAGGGACAGTCTTTGATCTTAGACTCCGGGTCAATGTGCAAGAATGGACATTCTTTGTTACTGCATTCCCCTGTACCAAAGGCAAACACACTTCTCAGTCAACGGTGCAGGTCTGAGTTCAAAATGACTCTCAAAGCATCACCTGGATCGTGTAGCTCCCACAGGGCTGTTGCCAACACTCGTAAGTTCAGGCACAACAGTCTTACTGCCTGTCTTAACCTACATGGAGAACACCAAGGATTCATCCCTGGTGAGTAAAGTTCTACCAGACTGGATAATTTATGTGTGCTTTTAAAAACAACAGGGAAACTAAATTTGAAAGAGCAGTCATGATAACAAAACCCAAACATTTAGTGCACCAGAAGCGTGGAGAAACTACAAATTGCACACTAACCTCAATCCAAGGAAACCTACAAGACTGTAGGTTTCTGGCAGCAAGTTGCCTCATTATGTCCAGATCTCCAGAGCTGGAAAGCAAGTGCATAAAGGTTTTGCACCCCCATGCCCTCTGCTGCTCATCAACTCCCCAAAATAAGTCATGCAAAGACCAGCTGCTCAGCCTACTCCTCTCTTACCCCAAAAAATGAACATAAGGCATAAAAGTTTTCAGTGAAAACTTGAACTTCCCCCCTCTTCCTGCAAAGGGGACAAGCTCTTGAGAGTGAAGACATCTACAATATGTCACAAAGTTGGGTGGATAATAAGGTGAAGGACTAAGAGATCTGAAAAAAATGATAATCTAACACCTCATCACACACAGAAGAACCGGAATGCTCTGAAGATGGATGAGAGGCATGTACCAGGATCCTCTTCACCAGGCTCCCACACCAGCAAAGGACAACAAGCAGGGGTTACTTACCAAATTTGGAGTAGAAGTAACACTCAGGCATCTTGGTCATGTCATACTCGTGCAGAAACTCGCACTGGTCTCCCTTTTTGCACAGTCCTCGCAGCCAGTGTTTACAAACAACTGTCTTTTCCCCACTGATGTGTCGGAACGGGCACATGCCCCCTGTGGAAGGACGGGTGGGGCAAGGAGAAGGGAGAAGAGAACAATTCAAATACATGTCACAAGGAGGAACAGGGCAACGGCAACACTTTGTTCCCCTCTGCAATAGGGGTTTCAGAAGACATCAGTTGTGATTTCAGCCTTAAGTGACAACAGCAAAAGAGGGAGTTCCAAAAAAGTCTTGTGTAACCCTCTAAAAAAGTCTCCAGCTCTTAATCTTGACAACTGCAAACCACAGCAATTAATCCAGGCACATCCACAGCAAGGTCTGTGTGTGGCAAGTTCACACCTTCCTTTAACAGGAGCTTTCCTTATTCACCTCCCAATGTCTTTAAAATATACAATTATTTCCCAACTGCTGCAGTTATTCCAACATCCTTCAGTTATATCCTCTATCTGTGTTATGCCCTCAGCTTTACTGATCAAGAGTACTATAAACAGAGCTAGAAAATCTGTTTTTCGCCCGTCCACCCTGCAGGAATAATTGCATTTCCACCCTTCCATATGACTTGCCTTTTCCACATGCCGCCTTTAAAAAGAACTCACAGACAGCCGCGCCCGATTCTGTGGAGAACAAGGAAATATAGTTAATTTCAACAAAGCTTCATAGCAACTTTTTAATTATTTCTCCTCAACATTGAAGGAAAAGCAGCGTTTTGGTTTGGGGAATTTACTTTCCTTGTTCAAGCCTGGTCCTTCACAAATATCTCTAATTTTCTTGGGGGCACCAAGGGGAATTTGCAGAGATTTGGTGGTGCTTGTTTTGTTTTTCAGCTATTTTGGTTTTGTTGACTGGGTTGTCCTCTGCCATTAAGTCAATCATGTCAATAAATCACAGAATATTCTGAGTTGGAAGGGACCCACAAGGATCATCGAAGTCCAACTCCTGAACCCTTTACTTACAGTCCTGGCCTTAATAGTCTTATAGTTTTTAACCAGAACAGCCCGAAACAACCATTAGCATGTTATCCCTTGCTGATCCTGACCAATAGGAATGTTCAAGGGAGTTAAAACAAAACTTTAGTAGACTAGCCAAAAAAATCCAGCAAACTACGAGTCTCCTGAGTCTGTTTGTGTCAGACTGAAGGAAAAGGTTTAGAGACTCAGCCACAGATAAATCTAAAGATGACAACTCCCTGCCATTCAAAATGCTTCATGTATCAAGAAGTGATGAAAGGAGAAACATAAAGTACTGTGCAGGACAGTGATGTTTATTCAACATGAGCACCTCAGTGTTCATTTTTCCAGCGTGGCTAGGTACTAACGAGAGTTTTCGTTAAGTAAAAAACAAAAACATCTGGATTAGGACAGACACCTCATGGGAAAGTGGAAGTTGGGTGGATCTGAGGATAAGACCCGAGGAAGACCCTGAGATCCCTGGAAACCTCCCACCCACCCCAGCCCAGCCCAGCCCAGCCCAGCCCAGCCCAGCCCAGCCTCCTCAGCCTCACAGTCCCAGCGGCCCCAGCACCCAGGGAAGAGAGACCCCACACGCACTGTCCATGCCAGGGAAGGGCAGCGGCTGCGCCCCCAGCTGCTGCTCCACGGCCAGCTCCAGGTCGAACGTGATGTGGTCCACGCTGGCGATGAGCTCCTGCATGGTGGCAGCTGGGGGCCGGCGGCAGCGAGAGGGTAGGGGCGGAATGGTGGCGGTGGTGGCCGCGGCGGCCGGGCGGGCCCGGGCGGGCCCGGCCCGGCCCGCTCCGCTCCGCGCCGGCAGTGCCTGCGGTGAGGGGAGGCAGCGGCGGCAGCCCCGTGGCCGCCCCGCGCCGCCCGCCCGCGGAATGACGGGACCCACGGCGGGCACGGCCCGCCCGGCGGGCAGCGCGCGCGCTCCCGCCAATCAGCGCCCGCGGCGCCGCGTCCCCGGCGGGCAGCGCGCGCGCTCCCGCCAATCGGAGGCCGCCCGCCGCCGCCCCGCCCCTTCCGCGCGCGCAGGCGCCGAGGGTCAGAGGAGGGGCGGGGCGGGGCGGGGCGACGGTGCGTGTGGGGGGCCGGGCCCTCTCCCCGCTCCCCCTGTCCCGCTCCGCGCTGCCGGCCCGCTCGGGCCCCCGCTCCGGTTTCCGGTCGGGTCCCGCGAGGTCCCGGCTCCGCTCCGCGCTCCGAACCCCGCTCGGGTCCCTCCTCCCTCCCGGGGGCAGCGGGCACACCATGAGCTCCCTGCGGCTCCTCGTCCCGCGCTGGTGCCGCGGTGCCTCCCCCGCTGTGCTGCGGGCGCGGGGCGCGGCCCCCGGGGGTGGCTCCGGACCGGCCCCGTTCCTGCCCCGGCCCCCGGGCCAGGCCCCGCTGACACGGCTGTGCAGCTCCTCACAGCCCTCCTGCAAACTGGCCGGGAGCGGCCCCAGGGACATCGGTGCTGGCACCTGCACTGCAGCCCCCGAGGAGGAGGAGGAGGATGAAGATGAAGGCGTGGAGTTCGGGACGCTGTCTGATAAGTTTTCCTCTAGAAAGTATTACCACAAAGCCTCATCACGCTTTTGGGATTTAAAGCTTCAAGAAGAGGGGGAGGAAGAACCAGAAAGAAAACCTCGACGCGGCCCTAAGAACACACCGTACTGGTACTTCCTACGGTGCAAGGCCCTCATCAAAGAGGACAAGGTTTGGTCCCAGTTCTTCTCTTTTTTTTTAATATCACTGATGAAAGATGCAGCTCTGACCCATCTATCACTTACTTGGTATCTCTACAGAAAGAAAAAAAATAGAATTTGTTGTAGAATCGTCACAGAATACCAGAATGGTTTGGGTTGGAAGGGGCCTTAAAGCTCATCCAGTCCCACCCCCTGCCATGGGCAGGGACACCTTCCACTAGCCCAGGTTGCTCCAAGCCCCGTCCAACCTGGCCTTGGGCACTTCCAGGGATGGGGCAGCCACAGCTTCTCTGGGCAACCTGTGCCAGGGCCTCACCACCCTCCCAGGGAAGAATTTCTTCCTAATCTAAATATCCCCTTTTTCAGCTTAAAGCCATTCTCTTTTATCCTGTCACCACATGCCCTGTCAAAAGTCCCTCTCCAGCCTTTGTATGAGGAACCCCACGCTCTGTAGGACTTCTACTGCTATCTGCCCACAGCTGCATGCTTAAATATCCATTGTAATTCATTCTCTTGTTCCCTTATTGTGGATTTTCCTCTTCCCTCTAGCTGGCAGAGGCTCTGGAGCTGTTTGAGGTGCAGATGCTGAAGGAGGAGCGTGTCCAGCCGGCGGAAAGCAATTACACCGTTCTCATTGGTGGCTGTGGCAGGGTTGGCTATGTGAAAAAGGCATTCAGGCTCTACAATGACGTAGGTTTAAGTTCTCTCTCAAAACATTTTTCCAAACTAAAACTGTTCCAAACATTCAATCGCTTCACTTTGTCTCCAAAACGCCTTTGAGTGAAGCGTTGGCACCTTCTTAGCCTGAAACTCTTAAAAGCAAGTTAAAAAGTTCTACAAGCCCTGCCTTAAGGAAGCAAGTTCAACTGCTTCTTCTCTTCCCCTAGATGAAAAAACGAGGGTTGGTCCCCACGGAGGCCACTTACACGGCCCTGTTCAACGCCTGCGCCGAGTCGCCGTGGAAGGACTCGGGGCTGCAGAGCGCCCTGAAACTGCGGCAGCAGCTGCAGAGCAAGAACGAGGAGCTGAACCTCATCACCTACCACGCCCTGCTCAAGGTCTGCGCCCTCTGCTCGGACCTCAAGATGTGCTTCGATGTACTCAAGGTAAACAGGTCGTTTGTCCCACGTTAAACCTGGCCTGCTGTGGTTAAAGCTCCTGGAAGTCTTCATGTCGCGTCGTTTTTTTAATTTAGTTTCCAGCAGAGAGAACGGCAGATCATGTGTTTGTGTTTCATTGGGCCTTCATTCTCCTGCAGCGAAATTCTACATACCAAACACCAAGTACCTAAAAAGAGGCAGCTTTGGCTTTAAAATTGGTCAGGTGTTATAAAAATAACATCAGGTGTGTCAGAAACTTACCAAACAAAGTTTCTGTGGAGTTCGCACGTACCCTCTCTGTCTCCCCTCCTCATTCTGGACACCTGTATATTGATACCTGGCTCCTTTTAGGGCTCTTACAGCAGCTCTTCTCAGAAGGGTCAGTCTGGGAATAGCTAAACAGATTGTTGTTTCTGCCTCCAGATTCCCCATACCTCCCATAAGGATCTGGGCATGTTTCAGGGCTCTCTTTCTCCTGGAGCAGTGGTTCTGTTCACCCTATGCCTTGTTTCTTCTCTTTCCCCAGAAAATGACAGTAGAATCAGAGCTTCACAGCCAACTGCACCAGACTGGATAACTGGGAAGTTTAATGTTTTCTCTGCTTTTTTAGGAGATTGTGCAGAAGGGGCATGTCCTGACAGCTGAGACCTTCAGCTTCCTTCTCATGAGCTGCATAAAGGACAGTGAAAATGGGTTCCGATACGCCTTGCAGGTGTGTCCTCATGTTCTAACTGGGAGGGGGAAGTGCTGCTGTATTGTAACTCATCACTTGAACACAGTGGGTGGCTCAGGGCTGGTGAAATGGGAGGAGCTCAGCTCCTCCTAGGACAAGTTCTGAAAACTAGACTTCCACCAGGACATCCTATACGCTGGTGAACAGCCCTGGATCATCTCACAGGGCTCCACTAACTTGAGGTCACTGTCCTTGTCGTGCTGTAAACTCACTCCTCTGCACACAGATCCCATTGACAGATGTGCCTACAGCCTGCTAGACATGCTGCTGTTATTTAATATCACATCAGGTGTGCATCTTCCCCTCTTCAGGTCTGGAAAGAAATGACTAAACTTGGGATAAAGGGCAACAGCCACACCTACAACCTGATGCTGCGCGCGGCGAGAGACTGCGGGATCGGCGACCCCGTCCTGGCCTCTGAACTCCTGCTCAGACCCCCTGAGAACTCACCTCAGCTACAGCTCCCACCTGGGAAGCGGAAGGAAAGGATGAGAAATTGGAGGAAGAAGGGATCAGAGAGTGTTGCTGTCCAGCTGGATGTGGAAGCTATGGAAAAGCAATTATTTCAGGAGAGCTCGGTGCAGCCCGAGGAACCGATTCAGCAACAAAATAAAGATGTGAATCAGGCCGAAGAAGAACCAGCTGCTCCTGACAGCCCCGGTGTCACCCACAGCAGGGCTGGAGCCTTGATGAGGAGAGACCACAGGGAGATGGAGCTGGAACAGGCACACCCAAGCCAGGAGCTGCCTTTCTGCAACCTGCCCAACTTGCTGGATTCCAGGATGCCTGACGCAGCCGTGGTTTCCTTGGGGACAGTGGCCACACCATCCCACAGGCTGGCTTTGATGGGGGACGTGGAGGGATTCTTGAACAAAATGAAAGAGGACAATGCAGAGCCCAACATTAAAACATTCACGTTACTGGCTGAGCTGGTGGAACCCCAAAGCCCCTCAGAGTCCTCCTTGCTGGCACTGCTGGATGAGCATAAAGTGAAAGTAGATGTGACCTTCTTTAACACTTTAATAAGGAAGAAAAGCAAACAGGGAGACCTGGAGGGAGCAAAGGTGAGAGAAAAACCTCAGAACCGGCCCTCTCACCACCTCCTTGTCTCACGCCTCCTGTGTTTTGCTGTGAGACCCATTTCTCTGTCCATGACAGAAACTGGGATCTCACATTTTTCCACAAACTGGTACTTGGGTTAATTTCTAAGTATTTATGGTTTCCATTCTAGCACATCCAGCTTCCTGTCTGGAAAGCTATAGTGATGCTTTTTGGGAACTGATGCCAAGACTTGTATCTTGCAGAGCGTGCTGCCAGCTCTGGTGAAGAGGGGACTGTCACCCAACCTCCAGACATTCTGTAACTTGGCAATTGCTTGCCACCAGGAGAAGGATGGACTGCAGCTCCTCTCGGATTTGAAGGTAATCAAAGAAAAATCCTCTGCTGCTTGGGGTTCAAGCTGCAGGGAGAAGCAAAATGAAGGGTTAATGCTGCTAAAATACCTGCTGAGGTTTTTGTGGCAGGTAGTTGTGTTCTCACTTCCAGGGAGGTGTGCTCCTTGTGTGAGAAGGAGGCTTTTCCTTCTCCGAGTTCTGCACTGGTCAGCAGATAAAAAAGTTTAACTGCAGCATTTGTGGTTTCCAGAGGTCTGGAATAACTCCCAACAAGTACATCTACAGCACCCTCATTGCTGGTGCTGTGAGGAAGCTGGATTACAGTTACCTGACAGAGATCCTGCGGGACATGAGGAACAACGAGGTGGCTCCCAACGAGGTGATCATCCGCCAGCTGGAGTTCGCAGCACAGTACCCCCCAAAATTCGACAGGGTAAGGAGCCAGCACTGCTCAGGGTGTGAAGGGGTCACAAAGGACAGCAGCAAGGGAGGGGAATCGTAGATGCCTGAGTTTCCTTTGGGTTTGTCTGATCTGGCTGACATGATCACTCTTTCTTCGGTAGCAGCTTGTAGCTCTCTTGGTACTGAAGTGAGTTCTTGTCTAACAGAAACTTGTTTTGTTGGATTTCTGTTTGCAGTACAAGTCTAGGAACCCATACCTGGAGAAGATTGATGGTTTCCGTGGCTACTACTACCGGTGGTTAAAAGTTATGGCTGGAGAGGAGACCCCCCACCCCTGGGCCAAATACAGGACAGCCAAACGTGGGGTGCAGGACAGCGAGGCCGAGGCCGTGCAGGAACAGTGAGCAGGAGGAGGGCATTTCAAGTTCTTCCAGCACAAGGAACATGCATGACTTGCTGCTTCAAACTGCTTGTAGTAAAGCTGCTTCTACATAATAAAATATTTTGTTTTAAGGAGAAGCAAATACGTTTTCAGTGGATTTCCTTAAGAGGATTAG